AAAAAAAAAAAAGAAAGCTACCTTGTAAAAATGTATATAAGGGAACTGCAACATTCTGAAAGCTCCCTCCAGACCTCACCTTCCTTCTGTACACGCCAAAGCCATCTAAGATGATATCTTACTGTGAATGAATATCCTATTGCAATCTCCATTGTAGTACCTGAATTATAAGCCAACCCAACCCCATGCCACTGTGGGTTAGAGTCATTTTCTAAACTACTCCAGGTTAGAAGGAGCTGATGGAATCAGCTTATTAAAGATCAGATGGGCCCAAGGGCACAGGCTTGTGATGTGATTTTGAATGTTCTGGGGAGAGATGGAAGATACTAAGGGTAAGAAGGATGTTCTCAGGGAAGAGGCTTCCAAGCAAAATTGCACATAGCGTTTTAACAGAGCACACTCCATCTGGGCTGCCAGCCTGGTCTTGAAGAAAAGCAGGAGAACTCAGCTGGGGAAGGGGGGGCAGCTTCCCTGCAAGGTGCAGCCTAACCTGGTGCTGGGGAACTGCCCTCTGAATGAGAGAAATCTGACAATCTTCCTATCAGCAGTAGCACAGCCCAATGTATTTCTGGGGACTCTGTCACTGCAGCCTTGGTGGCCAGGCCAGTCTAGCCTCATGCCAGAAGCATGATTCTTGATTTGCAGTGCTGAAAGCCTAGGAAGAAAGGGCAAAAGCAAAGAAGTGAGAGCCTAGAGCCCAGGTTCTTTCCAAACTCCAAAGGAATCACAGGTCTGATGACTCCCGAGACAGAGGCCGGGTCACAGGTCTCTAACTCCCGTGGGCACCATGGGTTTAGAGACAAGCTTCTGTATGCTTTCGGGGATGAAGGAAAGGCTCCTCACTGTGCCTGCTAGCTAGAGAACAGCCACAATGCTTTTAGCCTCAGCATTCTGGGTTTTTCATCCTACAAATCTTTATTGACTTTGGAGGGAATCAGGGAGACCAATTAGGAAGTTATTGCTGTGGTCTAAGCAAAAGATAATGAGTTCTGAACCAGGGGAGTGGCAGGAGGGATGCATTTAAGACAGATTTAAGGGGCAAAATCAGCAAAGTTTAATGACTGATTAGCTGTCAAGAGTGAGAAAGGAGGAATCTAAGCAGAGTCCAGCTCAGCATCTACCTGGATGAGAAGGCTGCCAATCGAAACTGGAAGCTCAGGAGCAAGAGCTCATATAGGGGACAATGATGACAGCTGCCTGTGGAATACACAGGTGTCAGTGCCCAGGTTTGCCCTGCCTCTCAGCCCTACTACAGTCTGTCCCCCCACTCCCTCCTCGTCCTTGTTAGGGTTGGTTTTGTCTTCCCCTTTGGTCTCTCTGCTGGGTTTGTTATCCTCCCCAGCTTTTGATTATGTTTTGCACAAGATGCTCTCTCTTCTTCTCCTCCCAAGTCCCCCCCTGCATTCACCGGTCACCTGCCCTTGTGGACAAGGGGTCTGTCCTGTGGTCCTTCTGTGATATCTGCAGTTCTGGAACTTTCTTTCTGATTCTGTAGCTATGCAGTAACCTGCTTATGGCCTGCTCATTCCTCCTGTTAGAAAGCAGACTTGTGAGAGGCATTGAAAGAATCAACCCTGTGTGAAGGGAAGGCAGACTCTAATGGGTGTCAGCCCTGCCAGGGGAAAGACAGGGCAGATGTAGCAACTTTGCCATGATTTATCCGGGTCTCCATGTCAGAAACATTGCTCCCTGAGATCAATCCTTGGAGGCTCTTCCGTTTGGCTGTAGACAGAAGCAATGGAGAGCCCTAAACCTGTGCCTCCTTCAACTATGAACCAAATGTAACCTATAATTGCTCTTATTTCCCTCACTTTACACAAAACCAAGCTTCTTGGAGAAGTTGGCCAACTGCTTATCACTTATTTCAAATCTAGGGCTATAGGTGAGTCCACCATCGCAGCTCAGCATCAGACCTTCCAAAGGCAAAGTGTCATAGTGCTTTGTTGAGTATGAGAAGCATGAAGAAGCCTTCAGCGAGGCCTCTCAGCCAAATGAAACTTGACATTCATAACCATCCAAGCGAAGGTCCACTTCAGTGACCCTACATCACTACCCATTACAGGAAATAGAAAAGTACTTGTAATGCATATGCCCTTTGCAGCAGAGAATTCAGGGGCTGCTTCTCCAGGGACCACAGAGCTCTTGGCAGCTGGCCACTACCTCCCGTGCACAATGCCAGGGGAAGCTGTTCTGTTTGCAAGTCAAGACTCCCCAGAAAAGTCCTATTGAAGAAAAGGCCACAGAGTGTGCAGATGCCACTGAGATCTAGGGCTTCCTGTGGCAGAGCAGTGCAGGTGACCAGACCTCAAGTTTCCCTGGGATTTATATACTTGTGAGCCAGGACATGTTCAGAGAGGACAAAGACATTCACCCAATCATCTATTTTTTTTCCTTCAACAATTATGGGTTGTCTGTCCAAATGCTGAACTAACTCTTGACATAATATAGAAATTAACAAAACTACTTAACAGTGCAGTCTTCTGGGGAAGACAGATACATTTAAAAATTTTCAATGCAATTATTTTAAGAGCTGTGAAAGTCTATACTTTTCTACTGTACCTTTGGTTTAAAAGAATTTGTTTTCACTAAAGATCATTTCAGAGACTTTGATACCCTCAGAACAGCAAACCTCCAGGAAGTCATCATGGGTGTCTCTCAGACACTGCAAAAAACATGGGGCTTCTAAGGGTAAGACTATTAAACCCTGATCATGTCCACTGCTTCCCAGATCAGAGCTGAAGGGAAACACGGGAACACATACTGAGATTCAGACTAAACCACTAACCATGTGCCAGCAAAGGGTTGCATATCATGACTCACCAATGATGATCATAATCAGTGGGTCCTTTCTGTATACACTTATTTCTCAGAGGCCATTTAGTAATGACCACACTATATGGCCATCTCTGTTAGGAAGAAGGATTTTGCCTGCAGTGGACTTGAACAAGCTGGTCAGCAACTAGGTAGGAATAAACAGCCCTGCCCTGGGAGTCTCTCTGGTCACTTTGCATCCAAAGCCCAGTGTTCTTTACCTAGAAATTCAAATTTCTGACTCCAAGGCCTCAAAGAAATACCTCTTACTTAGGATTCTAAAGGTGGAATGATAGTCTGAATGAAGGTCCAATGGTTTGTGAACTCCTAAAAGGATGTCGGGAAATCCTCCTTGCCAGTGTTTGTGGAATGCAGGTAGAAAAATGGGAATTGTAGCTGCTGACATCAATCACATGAATTACCAGTCAGGACAGGAAAGGTTATGTGGCAGTAACAAATGCTCTCATAACTTCAAGGACTTAAAATAATAAAGGTTAATCACATTCTTCTTGGATTGTCTGGGGCTCTGCTGCATGCTTCAGTCCCACTGGGCTCCAAGCTAATGGGGCGGCCTCTATCTAGAACACTGCTGACCTCAGGGCAGATGGAAAAGACACCTGGTGAGTCACACCCTCAGCATTCTGGCCTCTGCCCTGATACTGTGACTCACACTCACATGTATGTCATCCATCACATGGCCAATGGTCAGGTGGGTCGAGAATTATGTTATGAATAGTCACTTTCTTCCATCTCATAGTCTATCACATATTCATAGAGGACCTTCCTGGCTTCTTTCTGAACTGCTGCATCTGCTATGTTGCTCCTTCTAGATTGCAAAAACCTTACTGGGTCCCAAACGTAGAGCCATGTAGAGACATGGATACTTTATCTCTGCACCCATGTGACAATGCCTGGCAAATCTTGGAGATTCCATAAACATTTATTAAAAGAATTTGGAAATGATATTTTACATCTTCCATGCTCACCGTGTCTTGTTCAAGCAAGGGACACTGTACTGACTTAGCCCCGTTCCTCAATTACTCTGGTTCCCCTCCTTGAGATGCTTCCACTTATGCCCAGAGGACCCCAATCAGTCACCTCTGCCACTCGCCTATCTTAAAGTGTTAAGGACATGATGTGCCCACACAAGATCACCCAGATCTGAATGCAAACCCATAAACTAAATTCAGGCAAAAAGCACTGCTGCTGGGCCCCATGGTGTGCCCTGAAATCTACCTCATTTCCACCTGCATCTACCTCCTTTCTGGCTCAGAGCAGCTCCCCAACCATGGCTGGGCCCCGGACCTGAAATCAGAATCTGCCTCTGATTCAGATCCACCAGTGCTCTGGCTGCTGTTGCTATGCACCAGATCAACATGCATTCTCAGTGCCTAAGGGTTCCAGGGACTGTCACAGAGGATTCCCAAGGAGCGTCTTAAATACCCCGTAATGTGCAGATGACTCCACACCATCTCTGCAGTGATACATACTGTTTACCCTCTGATTTCCCATGGGATCCCTTGGGGAGAAAAAGACAGAACTCTGAGAGAAGGTAAATCTTTCTAAGTTTGTGCAAGCGCACGAAGAAATGAAATACAATCTGTTAAGTTTGTGGAAGGGTGCACCATCTGGCTAAGTGTGGCTTCATGCTTTCTGGAAGACAAATCTGTGGAAGAGGGAGGGTGGCCTGCCATTCCCCCTCCACAGGGAAGATGGGGAGACCCCGTCAGTGGCCTTGCCAGGGCACATGGTGTCTTCAACAGGGCAGTAGCCATCTGTGTATGCAGGTGCCCTCCCAGGGGATGGGCTATGCTAAGCAGGTCAGCTGATTGGGCCCCTGGGCTCCACCATATGACAGAACAGCTGGGGGTCTGAGAGCCATACCTGCCTCTTATTAGTGATGTGGCTGTGCAGCTGTGGTCCAGTGGTGTCCCCTTACCTAGGCTTCGGTTCCTATGTTTACAAAGTGCACAGTAAGCTACAAGTTCTCGCTTCCAGTTCAGCTGGGTGATACAGCGTGCAGCCTGGGCTCTGGAGCTAGAGGGCCCCAGCGACCGGCCCGCTCACCAGCCAGCTGTGACCCTGGACTAATTCAGCCTGGGGTTTCTTAGCTATAAAGTGGAAACAGAAGTAGTCACTCCTCAAACAAGTAACAAGGTGGAAGCATGGAGTGTGCTTGCTGAATCCAGGCTCTCACCTCTGCTCAGTGTCCAGGAGATAGTTTCTAAGGAAATAATAACATAAAAACTATAAAATGGCATAAAGTTAATCTGTGCAAACTATAAGCTATAGTTGTGCACTCTCCTTGGCCAAGGGTGAGTTACTCCGTAACCAGTTTCGCCTCTCAACCTTTTTTCTTTGTGTGTGTGGTACCAGGGATCAAACTCAGGACCTTGCACTTGCCAGGCAGGCACTTACGCTGCTGAACTATATCTCTGGCCCTTGCCTCTCAACCTTGCTTTGCAGTTTCTCCTAGCAGCTCACACTAGTCCCTTGCCTGCAATTCTCTCTTTAGCCAAACCTGTTTGAGGAAAAATACTTCACTACTCTAAAGTACTGGGGGGCTTTTGGATCACCTAAGTTGTTTAAGCGCCTGCTGGGGCAAACCCAATCAGGCGTAGGGGACCACAGTTTGATCCCCAGCTCCCCATGCCTTACTAAACTTGCCCTTAAAGCAGCCCAAGCCAGCAAAAAAAAAAAAAAAAAAAAAAAGTTAAATAGTTAACTGCAGTGTGCATTCTACAGGAACAACAGTCTTAAACCAAAAGAAGGACACTCACATGGTGTGGTGTAGCACCCTGCCAGTTGTCCTCCAAATACTGTGTGTAGAGTCCTGGCTGTTCCATGATGACAGAGCAGGCCTCAGTAGATCCCACCCATGCACCTCTGTTCTGGACCCTGCTAGACGTTGTTAATGTAGCTGGCTTGAGCTAGAACCCAGGAGCCCTGAGTGAGCAACCTGAATCTCTATGTCTACCCCAGATTTCAGGAACCCACACAACTCTGTGTGCCCCAATCACAGGCCGTCTTCATACTGGCAGATCCTTCCATCAGACCAAATGTACATGTGGGCCAAAGAAGCTGTTGCCGTGTCATATTATTATGGGAGTGCTAGAGAAAGGAACTTTTCCCATAGCACTCCGTCTCTCCCTTCCCAGACCACTCCCAAGTCTCTCGCTAATACCCTTTTAACCCATGGCTTTACTGCAAATACCTATGGAGAGCACTAATGGAGGTGGCCAAAGGGCTTTTGTCATGAAATAGGAGGTATGAGGAAGTAAGGATGATGCAAGATGTGGGACAGACAGGAGGCTGGTGAGCAGACTCACCTCAGCGCAGGTGAATTGCCAGAGCACCTGATGAGGCATGAACAGGAACTGAGTGCCTACAGCATGGCAAGTAGAGGACAGGCAAAAGCTCTAGGAAATAGCCATACAGACAGTGCAATCACCTCTGCCCATACCTCCCTAGAGAGGCATGAACCAGGCGACATGCATCTCCCACTGCTCAGGCCTAGGAGGTCAAGAGGCTACTGGCAGTATGAACCTCTCACAGCACTAAGCAGGGGATCGGGGCCCCAAGGAGACACATTTCTCACATGACATGACCCTCAGTGCAAGCCCTTAGATATCAACCTAATGATCTCTTCCAAGGCTGGAGGGAAAGCTAAACGGGTGGCACATTTGAAAGAAATACAATATATCAGATTCCAATATGGCACCTTCTGTAAGCATTTTCAAGGGTCATTTGAACTGTAGGAGATTTCCTTCTGGTGGATCTCCTTGAAACTCAAGGCCTGGTGAGATGAGGCTCTGCTGTAAAGTCAAACATCAAATGATCCTGACAGCTGCAGATGATACACAAAAGCAGCATCACTCCTATCAGAGTTTATGACTAACTAGTGGTGCCATGGCAATAGACAGCCCCATGCACCAGTCCCCAGCAAACCCTGAAACCCCCAGTCCTTATTGCTTGAACAAACCAGGAACCTCCCAGCCCTTCCTCCTCCCTGAATGGCTGAACTGTGCCTCCATAAGGATCTATGTCTCTGTAGGGATTGAAAGAAAGAGAGACAGACAGACAGACAGACAGACACAGATGCAGACACAGACACAGACACAGACACAGACACAGACACAGACACAGACACAGACACAGACTCAGATGCAGATGCAGACACAGACACAGACACAGACACAGACACAGACACAGACACAGACACAGGGCCTGAGCCTCCTCCCAGCAAGGCAGTCCAGGCTTCTCCGCCAAGCCCGCTGCCCCTTCTCAGCTCCTCTACCTTCCAGAAAGCTGCCTCCGGATGCTCTCAAGGGCTAATCTTCCCATACACTCTCACTACTTCAGGGCAAGTCCTTGTACTTTACCCTGTAAAATAACAGTGGTAGAAATGATAACACTGGTGATAACATTAGAGCAAAGATGGAGTGAACGCTCTCTTTGCAACAAGCATGCTGCAGCAAGCTCACATGCATTATCATTCGGTTCCCAGACACTGGGGAGAGGAAATAGAGTCATAGGGGTTACAGGCCTAGCAAGCCATGCTGCCAGGTGTCAAATCCAAGTGTTTCTGGTATCGGAGCCCATGATTCCACACTGTGCTATCTGCCCTCAGAACGTAGCCATATAAAAGTGTGATTGTAAAGCTGCCGCCACTCCTTCCTGTGGGAACAGGTTGCAGAACTTCCCCAGCTACAGTCCTGATAACAGTGGCTCAACATGCTGGCTCTGAATTTCTGTAGATCATGGGATGTGTCTGGTTTCCCTTAGTATGATCAGCACTTAGCAGGTTTTAGCACCTGTTCAGTGCTCAGTAAATGCTTGAAAGGTTAATAAACAGGTGAGCACATGACTGAATCCATCCATCTCACCCAGCCTTGGCCTTCCCCAAGGAACTTGCTAGTAAGTCTCCTGGGTTCTCCTAATCTGCTTGACTCATCCAACACATTTTCCTAGTATAATAGTGGATCACACCCCCAATTTGCCATCTGCATCATTTTTACTTGTAAGTTGTGTTTGGCACCTCTTTCACCATTCACCTAGATCAGACAAATGAGCATTTGTGCTTTCTGTTTCTCCCCCTGCAGGAGCTTCCTCTGGCATCATTGACCTCTTGCCATCCCCCAGCGCTGCCACCAACTGGACTTCAGGACTGCTGGTGGACAGCAGTGAGATGATCTTTAAATTTGATGGCAGACAGGGTGCCAAGATTCCAGATGGGATTGTTCCTAAGAACCTGACAGACCAGTTCACCATAACCATGTGGATGAAACATGGCCCCAGCCCTGGTGTGAGGGCTGAGAAGGAAACCATCCTCTGCAACTCAGATAAAACTGGTGAGTCTCCAACATAGCCCTGTGTCCCAACTGTTTAGACACAGACCCCCTCGCGGAGGAGGTGTGTGTGTAGTGGGGAGAATATATTCCCATCTCTGGCCTTCTGGCTTCTGGTTTTCTGGGCTTGTAGTAAAACAGGAGCAGGGAAGAAGGTAAGCATAGACACAGATAAGCAAGAGCTGGAATCACGATCTACAAGCTGGGCTTCTCAGAACTTCAGCAATCCCAGAAGTACCTTGGGCTACCAGAGATGAGCCAGGGATGGAGGAGGAATCTTCATCTATCCTTCAACAAAGATGCTCCACCTTTAATATATAATGGAGTCCCACTAAGGTATCATTACTGTTCAAACTTCGTCACCAGATGTCTTAGGGATTGCTGACAGTTCTTCAGCACCATGTTAAGCCTAGGTCATCCAGTTCAGTTTGGTGGTTAAAAGTTCTCCATCATCTATTGGGTGTGTGACCTCTGGCAAGCTGTTTAACTTCTCTGTACTTTATGTTTCTAGTCTATAAAATGAGTATTATGGTATCATCATCCTCATAGAGTTTTAATGAGAATTAAACCACTTAATATACACCAAGTGCTTGGGATAGTGCCTACTACACTGACCATGCAATCGATGTTAGTGATTATTATTCAAAACAATTTCTCAGACCTTTATAAACACTTTTATAAAAGTGTTATTGTGTTTCCCATCTCAAGGATATAAGCAAATCCTAAGAGCTTAAGGAATATGTCCTAACTGTACATCCAATAAGCATGAGAACCAGAATGTCAGTTTAGATCCAATGCCATGGTCTTATCACAACACCCCCATCGTGCACATGTGTGCACACATACACACTCACACACACAAATATTCTAAGATCATATAGAAAAGCACAACTGTCTTTAATTATAATCCCACAGTTTCCCATTTCTAATACAACTTTTGTTAAAATGCCTAAAGTAAATAACAACCATTTGCTCTTAGCAGATGATTATATAGAAGGAGGCCCAAGAGCTCAGCTAGACCTGCACAGCTTTGGGGTACTGCTAACCTGTCTGAGTCTCAGGGCCTGCATATGTACAATAGGGAAGATGACCATGAAACAAAGTGTAAATCACTTAGAAGTATAAAATCACTTAGAAGCACCTGATCTTAGCACTCCATTAATTTACCTTTAATCACCTGATGTTCATAGTGGCATTCTTATTATTATTATTATTATTACTGCTACATATAGTTGTATTCTACTTGATAATGCTATAAGAACTTCCAACTTCCCTACTTTAATAGACCTTTACAGTACATAATGTATTTCTTTCAAGAGGAACTGAGACTCAATTGCCTGACTTGCCCCTAGTCACAAGTTTGTGAGGCCCCCAAAGACTATCTGAGGTGGCACTGAGGTCGGGAACCAGGCTTCATCCTGTGGACCTAGCAACCCCTGCAGTACAAGGCCATCATGGTCCTAGAGCCAAAACCACAACGAGGCAACAGCTTAGGTGCATGTAGACAGATGAACAGTGGCTGAACTCCTCAGTGGCTACACCTAGTCCTTTCTGAGATGCATCCAGTAACCTTGCAGGTGGAGCAGATAGCTACAAATGTTCCTGCTTATGGAGGACCGTGAAATGTTGTATAATGTGCCCAGGATAACACAGCTGATTACTAAGAACCACAGGTTTGCTTTGCTCACAAGCTCTAGGCCAGACTGGTGCCTCTAAGGTCTAGTTAGAATAAGCTAATGGATTCCTAGGACTGTGTAGGTGCTGAGACCCCCCCCCCCCCGAGGGCCTCAAGCCAGATTCTCAAGGACACTGTACGATGCATCCACAACTGAACCCTCTGCCTCAGACAGCATTGCCTCCTCTCACCTCTGCAGTCCACTGGCAGGTACTGGGTAACCCCAACCCACAAGACCAGGGGCTCTGCATCTCAGACCTTGTAAAAAATCACACTTAAGACCCAGTCCTAGCCCAGGTCCGGAATTTCTGCCGACTTCCGGGATCCCCAGACCCAGCCCTAGCCCAGGTCCGCAGCAGGAAGGAGCTGAGCACAGCAGCCAGACCTAAGCGAGATGGAGCTGGATAACTCCAAACTCTGCAGAGCTCCAACTTCAGTGCGTGTGAAGGTTATAACTACAGCAAAGATCTACAACAAACGGCAGAAGACAGTGCTACAAAAAATGATGAGAAGGAACAAAATGCAACCTCAGAACCCAAGCCCACCCATAACAAGTGCAGAGGACACTAACACAGAACAAATTGGAAAT